AAAAGTGCGTCAACATTTTGAAATAAAAGGGTTCGGTAACTCGATATATGGGAGCGGTACTCGAAGTATTTGTGGCATGAAGCCCGTTGATAGTAGATAAAACAGCTCAAAAAATCTGAAACCGCTGTTTATTTTCTTTGAGGTGAGTGTTTCGATCCCCAAAGACAACGAATCTCAAGAAATATCGTGTGAGTAAAGCTTGGTGTGGGTTTTATAGTAAATCAAAGCGTTTCTTCGAATATAGAGCACTTTGTGTTCAACATGATGTGACGCCCCCCGGAAAAAATCTGACAGTAGATCCGAAAACCTGACTCAAAAATCTGACTCTAAAACCTGACACCAACTTCACTCTGGTACAAAACAAAACAAATAAGGCACATGCAAGGGGTCAATACGTTTAAGCCTCAGTTCCTTTCACGAATTTCGAGGGGGGTGGGGGGGAGATAGACAAATAAACAAATATACTTTTGGCATAAAGTTTTTCCATTATCATTAAATTACTAACTATGAAATAGAATGAAAAGAAAAGGAGAAGAGAGAGAGAGAAAAATTAACACTACAAAAAGAATCAAAATTACTAACTGGTTTAGTACATATTTACGTTAGATATATGTCGGAAAGGAAACGCCATGCTCACGCAGAATGACTCTGTGCTGTGTAAATCAGGTATAATAGAGGCCCTAGGACTGAGCCTGAGTCAAACCATATGATGTTTAAGGTCGACTTGAGGATCTTGATTGTTAAACTTAGACTGACTGTTCAATAATCATTTATAATCATTAAATAGCGAAGAGAATAACAAATAAAGTGCTATTTTCACAATGGCAATTACCATGTTCAAGATATGTCTTGAACAAACGCGTTTTGACCTTAAGGTTCCCAAAATAACAATAAAAAACCCTCCAATATTTGCATAGACTAAATCATTGTGTAAAGCAGAAAGGAGCTTTATTCTCATTCACAGCTTCGACAAGCAGGACGAAATTAAATAACCTACGACTTTGAAGTCCTATTTGCATGAGAAGAAAAGTGGCTTCCCTGATAATGAAGGCTTTCGTGGTAACTCTCCTGGTGACAGCGGTGTTTTCTTATCCAAGTCACGATAATGATGAAGGTAAAGTCTGCCAAAAAAACTACTGCGTAATTTCTTTTCGCGTCTAGCCCACTGTTTACTATGAAGCAAACTCATCAGTAGGACTTCCTATATAGTTTCCCACAATTTTTCTAGACTAGTCCAGCTGCTAACGTCAAAAAAAATATCGAATTGTTCACTTTGATGATAAAAGCATGAAACTTGGCATGATTGCTAAACTCCCTGGGACAAACATTTTTTGATATGGGGCCAAGCGAAATTCGCTTGGGGACAGCAGGAATGGGCATGCCCGGAATTTCCGACATGGAAACGAGGCTACAACATAAAAACACCCTAAAATACGACAGTTTTGAGATACTTCCACCACTAAACATCGAATTTGTGTCAAGTGAGCAATTTCACTTGCTTTAATTTGAATAATCACGATCACGTGATCGTTTTAAAAAAAATCAACTTTAGCTTGGGATCCCTGTGTCGAAAAATCAAAAAGTTCCTATTTTTGTGGCTTTTTGAGTAAGATATATAACTATAATATTTTCTGCTAATCATATAAATCGGTTTGATAAAGTATCAATTTGAAAAAGGCCTTTGTATCTTCATATTACGGATTTCATATCCTGGGCAGCATACCGTGCCTCAAAGTAATGATGAAAAGGTAAATTATACACCGTGAAANTCCATGACAAACTGATAAAAGGCCACGTACACGCAATTAAGTATCATATTTTCAATTTTTTTTAAAGTAAACCGTCATTTTTCTTATCATATTAGTTTTTAAAGCATACAAGTTTTGCATTAGTACTAGTTTCACTGAATTGCCGAGCTTGGGTCGAATGACCAAAAGCAACGTTTTATCAAATAATAATAAACAATTTGAAAAAAAGAAAATAAAGAGAAACAAGGAAGGCGAACGGAAGGAAGAGAACGAAAGAAAGATTTTGAACAGCGTTTCCAATAAAACCCTTTTCTGAGTCTTAAAAAAGAAACACTAAATCGGGTTTTTTTATTTAGAACTGAATATAGAGCGTAGAGGGCGTGCTACATGTGGAAGCGTTAGCTACGACCCAAGGTTTGACGTGTGCTGCGCAGGAAAGGTCCTTTGGAAGGGCATTAACAAGTATGCCTGCTGTGGCTCGGCCAATTATGACCCAAGGTCTGACGTGTGTTGCGCTGGAAGGATCCTTTGGAAGGGCATTAACAATTATGCCTGCTGTGGCTCGGCCAATTATGACCCAAGGTCTGACGTGTGTTGCGCTGGAAGGATCCTTTGGAAGGGCATTAACAAGTATGCCTGCTGTGGCTCGGCCAATTATGACCCAAGGTCTGACGTGTGTTGTGCTGGAAAGATCCTTTGGAAGGGCATTAACAAGTATGCCTGCTGTGGCTCGGCCAATTATGACCCAAGGTCTGACGTGTGCTGTGCTGGAAGGATCCTTTGGAAGGGCATTAACAAGTATGCCTGCTGTGGCTCCGTCAATTATGACCCAAGATGGAACTCATGTTGCAATGGAAGGTTGTGCTGAAGCTGAGGTCTTGGAAAGTTCTTTTTAGTTCAGTAAAGTAAAAGTAAAGATGAACTAAGCTAGAAAAGGAATATGGTGATTGATGTGAACTTATACTAATGAATAAATAAATGATGTCCAGGTGTGAAATTTCATTCTATATAGTTAGGGGGAGGGATGGACCGCAGAAGGGGAGAGACGGGAAGGCAGGCAGGCAGGCGGGCAACGGCGGGCAGGCGGGTATTAATTGCGTCAAGTGGACGGGCAGTCAGTAGAGACAGAACTGAAGGTCTTTTTCATTTTCTTTCTTTTTTTTTTTTTTTTTTTTTTTCAATTAGAATCTGCTGGACGTGAAACCAAATCTAAATTTGCTGAAAAATAATAAAAGAAAAACTATTTTAAAAAATTAAGATATATTGTCAAAATATACTTTCATTGAGTTTATCGAACAACCTTTATTATTAAGTTTACCGCAATTTTTTTCCTATTTCATTACAATAAAGATTAGTATTTTTACATCATTTTATTGTTCTTTCCCTCTACTAGTGTTTTTCTCGATTTATTTCAAATAAGTGCTAATTGTAAAGCTGATAAATAAATAAAATAAAATAAATAAAATTCACCTACAGGTGAATACAACTCGCTCACACCCACGCTCATTTGTCGATTTGTGCCGCTTGCAGAGATAAATAAAATTTGAAAAGACCAAAAAAAACCCTCTCTTCTCGTTCTTTATTAAATTTACTTGTGTTAAAAATACTCGAAGACTCGCAGCTCGGTAAATATTCCCGGATATTAACTTTGTCTTCGGCGAATAATTGTTAAATATTTTGAAAAAAATAATGATGACTTGAGCCCGTGAGTCAGCAGTACTCATCTATCTGGCCATGCGTTTTGAGGCGACGTCATGGTGTGTTCTGATTGGTTGGTTCAAACGAGGCGGTTTCTTTCAATATTTTCGTCGTGTCTGCTAACGAAGAACTTCGCTTAAATTTTCTCCAAAAATCCACTTTTTGATGCCGAAATCTTAAAAATAACGCAATAATGAGGCCTCTGTAAGTGTAATACTTATTATTCGAACTCTAAGTTGCGTTCTTGTGCTCATTTTATCCATTTTTGTGGCCTTAAACAGGACGAAAACACCCGGGAATACGAAGACACCGAGAAAGACTCCTCGAAGACCGCAGGGAAACAAGCTCAAAGATCCCGTTGAAGTGAGTAAAATTTCCTTATAATATTTCCTTTTCTGTTCTCCAAAACTAGTGAATTATCTTCCTCTATAATCGTGCTTTATGAATTTTAAATTACAAGCTAAAAGAACGATTCTTTGACGTACGAATTTCATTTTTATTCGGTAAAGGATTAAAATCCCGCGTTTTTTGGTCGACGTCCGTTTTCTTGTCGATCAAAAACAACGACTTTTAGTCAATCCCTTAAAAACGTTATGTAAAAGACAAGAATTTTACGAAATCATTAGTCTTGGTATTTTAATACCAGGTTGCAAATAATCTGGGGTTCTAAAAGATCCAAAGCTTTGTTTCTAAATATTCGTAGAATTTCACAAAATGGTTTTAAAAAACTTCTTTCGATCCTGTCAAAGTTTCAGAAATAATTTTTTAGAGAAGCCAAAAATTTATTGATTATATTTTAGGTTGTACATTTTCAATATATAATATGTTTAATAAATCTTACAAATAATACCTTGTAGTGTATTCCATTTATGAAATGATTCATTTGTTACTTGAGCTATAATTCTTTATTATTTTGGGACTATTTATTATAGGTGTATTGTAGGATAAAGCCTCTCGGTGAGAATGATGAAGAATCTTGTGTTAAAATCATCGATGATGACAAAAAGATCTTACAGTTAACTGCTCCAAAGGTAAACAACTTCGCATTYGTATTTCCTAAGTACTGTATATATGGATTCGAATATTCACCTGAATTCTTTATCCATATTATAGAGGGACGTAAAGAAACCCTGGCATTGACTACCCTCAGTGTCTGAGTATTGGTATGGGGATTTTTAGGGGTCGGAAATTGTTTCAGTTAAAATTTCGAATCTCAATCTCTATTTTTTTGATGAATAATGGCAGCTTAGGTCTGACAAAAGTGTAGTAATTGTATTTTATCCTATTATTGTTTACTCACAGCATTCCCAAGCATTCAAGTCAGGGCATCGCATAGAGGTAASAGCCAAAACAACTTATTTTACAACCATCATGCTAGTTATGACAGGGCTCTTCTGTGAGGTTCACTCAATCACTACATTCTATATTTACAACATGAAACTCAACGTGTGGATTTTTACGGAGGGAAGAAAACCAGAGAACCAAGAGAAAATCCCTCACGGTAAGGGAGAGAACAACACATCAAACAAACTCAACTCACATATGATCAGGTCTGAGTTGGAGCTCAAACCTAGACCACAGCATTGAGAGGCAAGCAGTAAATCTATGCCACCCCATCCAAATGAAATAGACTATTAAACAACAAATCCTGTCATGATGAATAAGTAAAAAACAAAAAAACTTAATAATGTGATGTTGTTTTACATCACACTAAAAGCTCTATGCATCTAATATTGTCTTCATTTTAGACGCAGCACACCTTCAAGCATGTTTTTGACGAAGACACCACACAGAAAGAACTGTTTGATCAGCTTGCTTTACCACTAGTAGATGACTTACTGCGGGGCAAAAATGGTAAAGAAAACATTTTATCATTTCTATGTTCAGGGCTTGAAATAGTGGCCTACCAATGGCCAAATGAAAGRACAAATTTCAGGTTTTGCATGCGAAAATAAGGATGCACTGCCAAATGAATAATAAAATGGCATGCAAAATTTACTGGAATGACCTYCTTTTAGTATAGCATATGGTAGAAACTAGATAAACTAGTTATAGCATACTCCTTTACTATGGCAGRCTAAAAAAGTTTTTTATTTGGAGCCCTTATGTTGTAGCTTACTTACTGGTACAGTCAACTCTATCACATGGCAGCGATAAAATGAACTTAGGCCTAGGGCAAACGTTGACCATTCCATGCACCGAACTTAATTACATCAAAGAATGCCGCCTCATTATCACCTGATATCCATTGTTTTTAATGAGTCCGGTGCATGGAAAGTTCAGCGTTTGCCCTAGGCCTTAGTCAACAGTCATGATGACCAGCCAAACTATTTTTACCTCCTTTATACATTGTTACTGCTCAAAATGGCTTGCAGTTCAATTCCTGTAACCAAAACTTGTGTCGTGAACAAGTTTCAGAACAAAATCGTGCCATGCATGTCACAACCCAATGAAACCTGCCTCTTAAAGAGTTTCAGGAACACGCAATAGGGCCTAAGAATTAAAACCAGGTTGGGTTTTTTTTTTTTTTTTTTTTTTTCAGGTCTCATCTTTGCATATGGAATCACTGGTTCTGGTAAGACACACACTATGACTGGGACACCCAATGACAGCGGCTTGTTACCAAGATGCCTGGATGTTATCTTCAATAGTGTGTCAGAACTACAGACAGAGAAATGTGTAAGTACGCTCACCATATTTACT